TGTAATCCCACTCGACGAAATCGAGATCAACGAGAGCCTCAACTTCGTAGAAGAACCTGTAGAGATCATGGACCGTGAGGTCAAGCAGACGAAGCAAAGCTACATCCCAATAGTGAAGGTTCATTGGAACGCCAAGCGAGGACCGTAATTCACATGGGAGCGCGATGATCAAATGAAATTGAAATATCCTCATCTCTTTGCTTAGTTATTTGTAACTATTGTATTTGCTTAAACTTAATTTCGGAACGAAATTCCCTTTAACGGGAGGATGACGTGACAACCCGAAATTTTCATTCGGACAAACTCTAAAGTCAATCACTTCAATTAAAATTCAATTACATTTATAATAATTGTTAGCCAATTTAAAAGTCCGTTTGAGTGTTTTTAGTGTTTATTCTTTAAATGAACGAAGGAAATGAAGTACCGTCTCGGTTCTTGAAGTAGCAAACCCACCCAATGCACCCTAATAAAGAGTTCACGGCCAAACTTTTGGAGTTTGGGCCATAATCTCTCCCATTACCGTGAACTCATGCCTTAGGTACCTATAGCACTTGAATCAAAGTGTTTACATGTCCTAGGGTGTCTTAACTTGATTAATTAGTTGTTAATTGACTAATTAGATACATATATGTTTATTATATGTTAACTAGGACCATTGTGTGTGTTCAAGTCTTCACTTGACACCTAGCACCTTGTCCGACACTTCCGAACAAACCACTCACTACAGGTGAGTTCATACCCCTTAATTAACCTTTGAAATGCTTTTAAATGTTTTTAAATGCTTTATGGGGGGATACAAGTTGAACCATGCTAGTTATTAGATCAATCACATGTGATTAATAACTAGCATACAAATGGATTTTTCATACTTTAAACTGTTTTACCAAACAAATGACTTCAAACTGTTTATCAAACTATTTTACATGCCAAACTCTTTATAAAATTCACTTTTGTATACTAAACCTTTCTTGTACACTTTTCAAACTTATATATTGTTAAAACCATGTCTATTACATATATAGTTATATAAATAAGGTTTGAAGGACTTAGGAGAGATAACCCACTTTACCTCCTGTCCTTGTTTGGTTGTGGTCTTAAAGTACCCGGTTGTTTGTCCGAGTGTCGTTGAATCCTTAGTTATATATGATGTATATATGTATAGATATAAAGACTTTTATCTCAGTTCAGTACATTCAGTCTTACAACAAGTCTACTAATAAACTATAATAGGTATAGTTTAGGGTTATACTACTTACGACTTCTAGTTCAGTGAAGCATACAAGAGTCAGTTCATTCCTGAGTCATTACTTATTACTATGAGAACATATACAACAATACTAGGATGAGAACATATACAACTATACTATGATGAGAACATATACACCTATACTATGATGAGAACATATACAACGATACTATGATGAGAACATGTACAACGATACTATGATGAGAAACAATACATTACATAAGTATACTTTAACATAAATGTGATCCATTGTATCGGAGCATGCCTTCATTGTCATGGCCCGAGTTGTAACCAGAATCTCCTGGAGGGAGAGCGTGAGTTTGCGTATAGATCTATATTGGATTGACTATCATACACCTTGTTGTTAGCTATAACGGGACCTGCAGGTCTTCGGGTGCCAAATGTCATACCTTTTGACGACTTACATTGTCGTGTTTTCCAGTCGATAGTATGGTACAATTAATCACATAATACCTTGATATAAATCCGGTTTAAGGTAGTTAGTACAACAATAGTTAGTATAATACAACACTACAATACTACATTAATTTACCCTTTACATTTTTTTGGTGATCATTTCACTTAAATATTAATGTACAAACTATATTTTGATAATGATAGTTACCGTTGGGAAAATTACACACTTTTACAAGAAATAAACATACAAAACACTTGTGCCTTGGTAAAAGGCTACTTTTAGTAGAAAATATATGATTTTATAGGAGTTACAAACTTTTACAAACACTTACAAACATTCACACACTTTTGCTACAAACGTTTACAAACTCGTACTTCAAACAACGGTTCAAACATTTTGATACAAACATAGACACTAAATACTTATGAACTCACCAACTTTAATGTTGATACTCTCTTTCAAAATAACTTGTATTCTCAGGTTATCAGTAGACAGGTACCGATGCCAGCTTTTGAGAAGATGGAGTTGTGACATCCCCAAAATCACGGTCAGAAAAGACCGATTTCATTTATGTTTTTTAAAATAATTTCAGAGTAAATCATTTTGATTTAAAAGTGTTGCGGAATCTCTAAATATTATTAAAAGAGAACCTTTAATTATAAATTGAAGAAATCAAGACCATTGATTGTATTTCAATCCTTAATTTTCTACCTTTAGATTATTTGCTACATCATAATCAACACTAATCAATCGCCGTTAACTGCATCATCCAGGAAAATAAAATATATTTTTTCCTTGGAAAAGTTGTGATTTGAATTCCTGATCGTCTGTTTCGCTTACACCCTGTTCCCGAGTTCAATTTAAGGAGAGAAAAGAAGAGAAATGGGTGGAAGTGAGAGGAAAGTAAGAGAAATTGGTGTTCCCGAGTTTCATTAAAGGAGGGTAGTGGAAGGAAATGGAGGGATCACTTTCCCTCCTAACTTTCCTTCCGATTTGGAAGGATTTGGAGAGAAAGAACAAAATGTTTAACTTTCCTTCCATTTCTCTCCAACTCGGGAACACAAAAGACAAATTTCTTTTCCTTTCTCTTCTCTTCTTTTCTCTCCTTACTTTCTTTTCTCTTCTCTTATTTTCTTTGCTACAACTCGGGAACGGGGTGTTAGCCACATCCTTATATTATCTATATGAATAACAAAGAATGAAAGATCAAGGGCTAGATTTGATAAATAGAAGCACGAATGAAATATTCAGGTTGGATATGGAAAAATCGAAAGTAAGTCTTTGTATATAGTCGTACCCCTATGTCCTCTCTATGAACATCCACCGTCAACATCGCCACCATCCACCATCCGCCATCTGCAGCCCCTCACCATATCCTTTATTTTATTTCTCTCACACTCTCATCAACTCTCGCAATCTACTAAAATTCTTCAGGTTTTAAGATTCTGCCTCTCACCTTCAACGTTTTTCTTTCTTCTTATTGATGACCCATTCAAATGTTCACATATTTTGCACGTCGCTTGATTGCAGGTTTTAGGGGGTGGAGGAAAGAATTGTTTAACGAAGAAAATGAAGAAGATGGTTGATTGTTTTAGTTGGATTTCCCCTTCCCATTTCACATGTTCGTCATCTCATAATCTCAGGTATTCTACCAAATTATGCTTTTCAGACGTAAATCGAATTATGGTCTTTCATTTTGATTTTTTGCTTTAGAAACCCGTAAGGTTCAAGCCCTGAATCGAAAATTGAACCAATGTCAAGGTATGGATTATTCTTTGTTGTCTTCCTATTTTTTCTACAATTTAGAATTTTAAATCGGAAAATCTCCCAATCTCGCATGTTGATTTCTTGATTTTTCCATAAATTATTACCTTTTCCTCCCAAATCTCCAAACCCTTAAACGCCAACCTCATGGGATCAAAATTGACATAGAATAAGATTTACACACCTATTTTGTTCTGGTTTGAAAATCACAAACACAGACAACTCACAAATGTTATGATTTTCAATCGGAGAGGACCTTGTCCTATAGTTAGGCTGCAGAAAGATGTGGCGATATGTCCTTCACCAAAAGCTGATTTCAGTTTTAATTCTGCCCTTCTTGATTTGATCTCATAAAACCAGTACATCTCCTCTTTTCAATTTTATTTCCATTATTCGATATAGGTTGCAAGTGTAAAATATGATAATCAAGTCTTTTTTTGTTATGGGTTTGGATTATGGGTGTGGTATAGAATTTTTTTGGCATAATTAGGTTTTTCTGTCTGCAGTGAAGAAAAGGTTCAATTTCTCGCTTTTTTTTTTTCTTCTTAATTTTCTATCTGCAATTATACATGTTTTCAAGTTTGGTCCTGTGGATTGTTGGTTGTGTGAACTGTGAAGGAGGACAGGTTCTGATCCATGTTTACCCCACCAGTGAAACAATATTGGATAAGATATGGTCCTGTCATCTCCTTTAATCGTCAGTTACATCAATTAGACGTGTTGCATCTAAATATGTGTGTGCTTCAGATAAATATCAATAAACCCATAGAAAATGGTATTTTTAGCTTTGTATTTCTCATTAATCTTTTGGTTTCTTACAATTTCAGACTATAGATTTCTCAAGCTTTTGAGCAAACCCAACAAGTTTATTGTGCTCCATGGTAATCTGATGTAAAACCCACTCCCACTTGTAATAGTTACAAATGAAAGTAAGATTCTATGTTACACTAATAAATGAAAGTGCATTGCTATTTACTGCTAAGGTTTTGGTTCGAAAATCGAAGGTAAGGCCCGCTGATGGGGAGATGACTTACTCCAATAAGCTATACATTTGAATTTCTCTTTGACTTGATCAAGACAGATAGACTAACAGATATAGTCAACAGAAATGAGGCTTTCCTCCTTAAGCCCTAACTTTTTACACATTTGGCATCATATATTTTTTTCTTTCCAAATGTGCCATCATTTTTTTAAATATCTTGGCAACATCGTTTATCTAGAATAAACTTAATAACTAAAAAAAATGGTGTTTTCCTTTTACTTCCAAATTTCCCGTAATAATTATGATTAAATTTTTGTATAACTTACTAATATCTTTGTATGCTGGCTTGCTACAGGTCTAAGTATTTATGTTTTGAGATATCTGAGATGGGTATGAAGAGTTGTATGAAAGTTAGAGGCAACATGTAGAATTGAATTATGATGTGTTGCTCATTTAGGTTCAAGGTATGAATTATGATATGTGTCATGGCTTAAAATATGTGGTATCATGAATATTATTGATGATTGTCTTATATTATGTTATTGTTGTAATTGCAGAGTGTCTAAACCTCTCCAGAATCCCCTAAACATATGGAAAAATACATCTACACAATTAGTATGAATGAGTTTGCTTCAAACTATACTCCATTGAATCCAGGTATAAATAGTTTCAAATGTAACAAGGGTTAATATAGTAACTTGGTTTCAATTTAAAATTTTCAATCTATATGTGCATTTTAATGGTATATAGTGTTTTCAAAGAGTTTTGTGGCCCACTGGAATGTCATGTTAATAATTGTCATTTTCATATTTCTCATTTATGGTTTATGGATGTCTTTTAACGTTACAACTAAAATTGCAAATAAATGAATTCATTTTTGTTTATTTATCTGTTGCAGATGGTTTTGATGCTATAAAATGCAAAAAAATAGCAAGGTACATTGATAAACCACAAACTTTCTTTAGAGCATTTTTAATTTTAGCATTTTGTTTTGTTTTTATTTTAAGTTAACTTATTAAAATATTGTATTTTGAAAGTACAATGTCATAATTCGGTAGCATTTTCAAAGTATATACAAGCAACTAAATATGAAAAACCGAAAAAACCATTCTTATAAAATAATAGAAATTGGAGGTCAAAATGTGACCTATAAAGAGGTATGTTTCATGTAACCAAAATATGAAATACAAATGCAAAGGACCAAAGCAACTGTTGATGGTAATTTTTGTAATAAGTAACTTGAGTCTACATACATTCATAAAACTGATTGTAATAGCTTCTATAAAAGAAGTTATCTTGTATAAAAGAAGTTATCTTTTAAAAAGATTGTAGCTTACCTAGCTTGACATCAGAAATCAGCAAAACTTTAATGAGTTAGTTTTAATATGCATTTTAGTTTTTATAGCTCTCAGTTATGTCATTAATTAGTCACTCTTGATGTCTTTGTGAATTAATTGGTCTAGAATAAGAGCCTGTTAATGATACTATTCAACTTTTTTCTAGATGTTGTCTTCTTTTTATTTTCTGTAGATTTTTTTTACCTTTTTTATAATTAATAATATAAAATATCTTCGAAATGTGCTTTACCCCATCTGTTAAACTTTATAAATAACAGCGTGTGAAGGTGTATTGAATCAAAGATGATGGAAAATGGGATGATCAAGGGACTGGTCATGTCACTGTTGACTATTCTGAAAAATTTCCAGCTTTTTATACTTTTCAACTTTTAAAGACATTTGTACCCTCATTTTTTACAACAGAGATCTGAAGAATTGGGCTTGTTTGTTGTTGATGAAGAAGACAATGAAACCCTGCTAATGCACCGAATTTGCTCTGATGATATATATCGCAAACAAGAAGGTAGTTTTAAGTTTCAGAAACACATTCTATATCTTTCTTTTTTGTTAAATTGATTTTATTTTGTTCTATTATCCAGACACTATACATTCATGGAGGGATTCAGAGTTTTCAAGTGAAATAACTCTTAGCTTTCAAGAAACCACATGGTGCTCATACATATGGTACCTAATAAATCATATACCTTATCAACTTATGTATTTCTTTTCATTTTAATTATGCATATGATTCACAATACTCTTGTTAAAATTATATATATATATATATATATATATATATATATATATATATATATATTTTATTTCTGGCAGAAACTTGGGAGCTTCATGGAGATGTTATTTGGTGGTCGTTATGTACTTCTTTTGATGTCATTTTTTTCCATCTACTGTGGTCTAATTTACAACAGATTCTTTTCTGTTCATTATCATATATTTGGTGCATCCGCATATAGATGTCGTGACCCCACGTGTATGTATATTTATTATTTCATTTTCTTTACCAAAAAAAGAAAAAGAAAAAAGTATTGCCAGCTGTCACTAAACAATCATTTTTTTTGTTTCCACTTTCCATCAACAATGATGCATATACAATTGGTTTAATCAAATATCATGATGCATATCCATTTGGTGTGGATCCTATCTGGTGTGGGTAGTCGTTCAGAGTTACCCGTTTTAAAATCTCTCAAAATGAAAATTTCGATTTTGCTTGGATGAATCTTGGAATCATGTTGAGCTACTTTAATTCGATTTTCTTTAACAACTCATTGGATATAAAGGTATATAGTACTTATATTTTATTTAAAATGTTTATAGATGAATTAATTTGTGGAACTAATTTTCAGGTACCAGTTTATCCCACAGACAGGAGGTTTGACTCTTTGACCTAAATCTTTATACTCCTATAGTTTTTTTGTCAAATGTTTTTTTTTTTCATTTTTAATTAATTAATTAATTTATTTCAACAAAGTAGAGGTTCAAAATCCAGGTGCTTTCATTGCAAATACTAAAATCCGTATGGTAGCTTCTTGGGAACCTATAGTCCTGGCAACAATTATTATCCCCAGTGAGTAAGCTCTCAAAATCCATAATTTTTTTTATTCCCAAATGGCAATTTGTATAAACGACTTAAATACCCTATTCTAAAACCTTGTTATCAACATTTTTAGTATCTAATTGAGATATTAACATGTAATGATGTAGGTGTCTTTGTTGCTAGAGAGAGTAGTACAACACTTGGACTAGGTTTCAGGTATGTGAATTCTTTTCTTTTTTTTATTGTAGATTTAAATTCACATTTATGCAATATAGTTTCATCTTTTTCCTATGCAACCAAGTGTTTTTTTTAGAATTTATATGAAGTATAACATTTTTGCATAAATTGGTAATAATCATAATTATTATTTGTAGGTGTGGGTTCTTAGGATGACTCTACATGGATGTTTTCCATCAACGGCTTGAGCAGGTTTTTTTCTTTTTCTTTTTTGGGATTTTAAAAAGGGAAAATTACATAAAAGCCATTACTTTTATCAACCTTTTAGCTAAAACGCCATTATGCAACATAGTTTATGTAAAAAAATTCATAATGGCTTTTCAAGTAAAATGTTGATAGTATAATGGTCTGTAATATGCCCTTCTAAAAAAATGAAATAAGACTTTATTAACTAATCAAATGCTTGATGGAAATTTAACTTGTATAAAATTTTATTTGGAAAGTATTATATGCATATTTGTGTTGTAATCTATTTTTGTAATTATATTTCATATTTATTCAAATTTTATATATTTATTATATTTTTTTACAGTTTTTTATATCGTAATTATTATCTTAAATTAGGTATGATTTTATCTATTTTTGTAATTATATTTGACATGTTATATTGATCTTATTTTCGATATCATACAATACATAAGACATGTTTGAAATTAGGAAATGATATTACATTCCAAAATATTTATGTCATATCAACATTAACCAAATTTATATTTCCCTGTCAATATAGGGTCTACAATTTTTTATTCCAAATCAATTTTCTCTCTAATTAATTATTTACTTTCATTTCAGATAATAATAATAATAGTATTCCATGGCAACTAAGAAATGCGGATCAGGTCGTATTTGATAAGGTTTCTAAAATTGATGCATCCAAAGGGTCTTGGAACCTACGTGTTAAAGTCCTCTTGCTTTGGAAGTAGACCAATAAGAACAATCATAATATGGTCGGGAGCCTAGACATGATTTTAATAGACCAGCAGGTACTGTTTCTACAAACTTTATTATTTAATCGACCATGTGTATGTCGATTTCTTTGAAGATAAATGTGTCGTCTTTCTACAAACTTTATTATTTAGATTGTCAAATTCTTATGTTATTACTTCAAATTGAATGTATTTTTTTTTTCCTGAAAATGGTATTCAAATTGCTTCAAATATGTGGTGATTTTAGTTCCCAATCCTTTCACTCAATATTACTTTTTATATAGCTCTATTAATTTTAATAATCAACTAAGTATGTTGATTTCTTCTTATTATTAATCGTGTCATGTTTCTACAAACTTTATTATTTAAATTGTCAAAATTTTATATTATTGCTTCAAATTTTATGTATTTTTGCATAAAAAATGTATTCTAAATGCTTTTTATATGTGGTAGAAAAATATGTATTTTTATAACTTTTGAAAGGGTTCTTGCTGATGTTTTTTAAATGATCACCAAATCATGAACACCATATTCTAAATGATAATGGTACTCCTATGAACAAGCCAAATAAGGTGGGAAACTGTCTCATATATATTTCCATAGTCAAACCCTATGCCCTCTTTTTAATATATTTTTCATTCATTTTCATGAATTTGTGCAAATATGTTATGTTTTTCATATTTTGATTTTGTGCATAATGACAATCTTGATGTTGTTGATCTTGAAGCTTCAACACCATCATCCAGTACGGGGAAGCATCATATTGAGATTGAGGCCAACATTGACTCTTTGGAGTGGTCATCTTCAAAAGGTGGCGCTGTTCCTGCTACCTTGAAGATCCCAAAGATGGAAAAATTGGACTAATATTTTGTGTGTCGCACTTTTACATTTCATCTTTTACAGACATTTTGTTTTTAATATTTTGTGTGTCACACTTTTAACTGTCTGTTTATGTTCTTTTGGTTGTTTTTAAAATTTTATTGGGTTGCTACTTGGTCTGAACGTGATGATATTCATGTTATTTATGACAATTTCAAGTTATTGAATTGTTTTGATTTAATGAGTATTTTTTTTTCTTTTTCCTTCGTTCATCATTTGATTTTGTAAATTAATTATATGTACATTATTATTCGAAATAAAGCATATATATATATATATATATATATATATATATATATATATATATATATATATATATATATACACACACACACACACACGCACACGAAAATTAATATTTTTATCATATATGCTATTTCACTTACTTTTATTTTCTAAATGAAATTTAAATTTTATTTGTATAAATATACATTGTTTGCATATCGTAACAAAATAAAATCATAGTATAAGTATTCAAAGTTGTATTTTTCTGTATTGCATTTATTCTCACCATAATTATATGCAAGATTTTACTTAAAAGTTTATGTTTTTTTCATCTATTTCCCATAAATTTTCTTTTTTTTTTTTAATTATTATGTGTTCCCCGCGTTTAACGCGGGTTATAATCTACTTTGTTCCTAAAACAAAACATGATAAAATAATATTTATCAAAGCATTTCATCAAGAAATGCATTTTCATTATATAATTAAAACCCGGAGTGTCATGTTCCGATACAGACCATAAAGCATAAACGATAACATTACAAGTCATTCAACAAATATATACATATACAGACTTGTAAACAAAACAACTCGATGATTCATCCATCTTACGCCCTTGCGCCACTTCCTGTAATACAAATAAAACTGAGTGGGTTAGGCTTGGAAGCCTGGTGAGCATATAGGGTTTTCAACCCACAATAAATAAATTATATTTAATTTCACCAACCAATCACTATCCCGATTACCCATTCCCTTTATCCTCACTTTACGTCCCTAAAACAACATCTATCTCAAGGGACCTAATCTAGGATTTTCATCGGGACGGACATTACTGCTAAGGGGTTTCCTCAACAATAGATATCCTAAAAGCAACCATGAGGGGGATAGAGTACACCGGTGAACACATCGTTTACAACACCTACAGGTTATGAACCTGCTAGCGTTCCACGAGACTGTCTAGAAGGAGTCTGTGGTCATTATCCATACTCCGCTGAATAACTAGGTCAACAACAACAACATCGAGGCCTCTCATCTGTTTATTACACACCAACTATCTACCCATGTTCTACCCAACATATTAGTAGATAAAAATATATATTTTTATACATAGTTTAAAACCTGTATAGCATTTTCATCCAATACATATTTCACATAACAGATGAGGTATACCCACATAACACGTATTTTATAGAAAACAAATCAGATCTATGAGATTGAAGAGAGTGAATATACATTCACGTACATCACAACAAATTATACACATAACACGTATTTCGTATAAAATACTTCATAATTATGCATTAGAAGAAAGTAACTACACACTCACTTGACCAAAAGATGATCGGATAGCACTACGACTTGTAGAAGTAGTAATCCTCAGCAGATCTGGAAGATCTCTACAAAAATCGAACTTCTCGCAGACAGAGCTTCGGCTCGGAAATCGCACTTCTCGGGATCTTCGGGGTTCGAAACTTGCTTCGGGGTGCGGGAATATTACCGGGGCTTCGGGGTACTTCTGGCACGCAAATCGACGCAAAACGGGAGAGAGAAGAGAGAAAAATAGCAAAAGAACTCGGCAGCCTCGCATCCTATTTATAGGAGGCTGGAGCCTCGGAGTACGCGGGGCGTACTGCTTCCGAAACGTCACTGCATGCGTCATCCGAAATGTCGACATACCTCGGTGTACGCGGGGCGTACTTCGGATGAGTCCGATGACTCGTCTTTGGATAATACCGGGATTTAATAATTAAATTTAATTATTAATTATTTAATAAACTTCGAAAATTCATATCTTCTTCATACGAACTCCGTTTTCGACGTTCTATATATCCACGTGAAGGTGAGACTACGCTCTACAACTTTCGTTTAGACTCCATCGGCTAATTTTGACTTTATTTTTATTATTTATTTTTAATAGGCCGGGACATAAAATTTCGTTATAAATTCATAACTTCTTCGTTTGACGTCCGTTCTTGCCTAACTTTTTATCGCTTCGATACTAACAACGAGATCTTCGATTCTCGTTTAGATCACTAAGACTAAATATCGCTCTAACGTAAATTTCACTTTTTACGTCATTCAGCGTTGTCGGTTCTGTCGCGAAACTTCGACAGGTCATAACTTCTTCGTTATATCTCGGATTTCGGCATTCTTTATATCTTCGGAAACCTTGTTTCAACTACTACAACATTATCCAAAGATATCAAGTTTATTTTACATTTAAATTTTGACGCTTATTTTTATTCTTAATTAATCAAACCACATAATTAAGCAATTAAGCACAAAACACATAATACTCAAATAATACACTTCTATTATTTCAAAACGGGTTACAAAGGTTAACCTAGACTATTATATCATCATTAATGACAGGCCCAGAAACACAGGCGTTACAATTGCATGCAAGAATCATCTTATATTTTGATTCATGTTTTGGTGTCTTATATACTACAGAACACACTTGTATTAAAATTATATATTTAATGCAATGAATGATGTTGTTTACTTGTTTACTATTATACTGTGTTGTGATACTTTACATGACGTCGTTCGCCTCAGAACGTTTCCGCCGTTCTTGGTTTTGGGGTGTGACAGAGAGGCAAAATGGAAGACGACAAAGGGAGCAACAAAAATCGTAAGGAAGAAGACAAATGTATAAAACCAATGATCTATGGAGATTTCCTACCTTTTAGAAGTAAAGGGTAAAATGGTCCATTTTGTTTTTCTTTTAATTTTAATGATTTTAAAATATAAAAATGGATTATT